TGTAAAGAAAATATCGATAAATCGAACATTTTATTTACAAGACTTGAAAAACAGATAGACTGCTATTTCGTTTATAACGCTCGTACGAGCAAGCCATTCAAATAGAAAGTACGAATTAGCGATTGGAGTTCTTGTCCGCTCGCGTTCATGCTAAGTGCGTTCAGCTAATTTTACGGCATCTTGCGAGAAAGAGAGATTTTTTTTGTATGTTTTGGAATGACATTGAGCTCACCGCGATATTTCATCACAAGATTGCGTCTTCGTATCAAGCGTCGCTCTTGTCGCACAATCTCTTGCTCAATGTATCCAATGTCATCTCGGAGAGGAACAAAGAAACTGCGGGATCACGATCGGGGCTACCGTTATCATCAAGCAAACCGTTTCCGTTTGACGACGTGACGGACAGACTGAAAATAATTGCCCGCTTTTTCTTTCGTCGTTCGTTCTCTCGCGGATTTCAGTGTCGTTGCGACCGACGGACCGAAAACGTCACGGCACGTCTTCCGGAATTCGGGCCTCGTTAAACATAATTATGAAACGAGCTAACAATACGGTATAATGCGATCGCGGTGGCAGGAAGCTAGTTCATTTCACGCGACGATAAAATTGCTATTACGCAGATGATTCGATAATCAGACGCCCCGAAGTTTCCGTTTATTTAGACGTAATCCGCTTTCCTTAAACCATTTTATGATCGTTGATAGTTGCGTGTAGTACGAAGATAATACTCGTTTTGCAGTTTTATTATATCTGCAGCACACACACACACACACGCATATACACGCGGAGACCTTCCTCTTCTTATTTAAAATCATATATATATATATCTATAAAGAAATCTTTTTTCAATTAATCCTTCAGAAATACATCCTGATTTTTTGTGTACAGTGCTTATTAAAGCCAAGAGAGGAAAAATCTTTCTTTTATATTTTCCTTGCATCAAATATAAATCCTTAAAGTTATATTTTCCTTTTAATGAATAAATCATTCGATGAATAAATCATTTATAAAATAATAGAATAAGTGTAAATTTTCCCCGAATATGCGCATTAATAATAACTTGCGTAACTAATTATTGCACAAAATTTTTTTCTAGCACATGCTCATGTGCCATTTCAAAGTGCATCATATACGCTTGCCAACGAGTTTGCGCAATAATCTTTGTTGTATGTGTATATGTGTATATGTATGTGGGCCACTTCACTCCTTTCACTCTTAACCATGGGGGCATCGGAGGGTTAATGACCATTGATGATGGCTCTCGAAGATAATAAAATTTACACCAGAACGGATACTCGAACCTGTCATTGCAAAACCAATCGCTCATTTATTGGCTATTTTGTCTTTTTCTGCTTTGACCGTTCCACAAAACCTCGTGGGTGGGATAAAGTGGAACGATGACCCAATTGGCAGAGATCGGTTAAAATATCGATAAGTAAAATACGATAAAATAAAATACGATAAGTAACTATTAATCTTGATATTGCGCAGAACAGGAATGTGTTCGATATATTTTGTCATTTTACTTCGGAGAGAGAGAGAGGAGAGTAAATATGCAACATCGATCCTACCGATGAACAGTTGTAACTGATCAAGTCTTTACTCAATCATTGAAAAGCCACTTCGATTTAGTTATGCATCGCACACACTACTGACCGTTACGACCTAGATGGAAAGAGTCAACGCTTTTGGAGAACTTTCTCTTTCGATCCCATTGAATAGTTTTTATTTTTATTCAAAACTTAGTGATAGTATGCAAAGACGTAATTAATTGCGAATCATGCTGTCATTCACGAGACTAGTATCACGCGTAACCGATTATGATGTTGATCAATGTTTGTCGATATAAAAACTTTATTTATCACATCGTGTTTATAGTATTCCATATGTTAATTTCGATTTAGCATTAAATGCGCAAGGGTATATTTTCCGCAAGATATTATCTTAATATATTGAAATGGCAATTATCTATCGATAGATAGATAAATAGGTAGCGCGAAATGACTCGACCTAATTGAAAATGAGCTATGTGCTCTTCGATTTGGAGAGATAAAATCTCTCGAGCGTGTCGGTTGTCTCTATCTTCCTCTCTCGCGTTACACGAGGAAATTAATTGCTTAGAGAAAGGCGATTCCAAGCTACATACTCTGTAAGAACAAGATTAAATCTGCTATGCCTCGCGGAATCAAAAGAAAAGATGATTCATACAGGGATTAAATCCTATCAAAACAACGTTTCGTCACCAGCAAAGTCCGATTACGATCAATAAATCAATAGACAAAATGATGCAGCAATATTTTTGTATGAATATATAAGAGTATAAAAAATAGTACCAAATGACGCGAAAAGTTTGTAGATATAATGTTACTTATTTAATCTCACCAAAAAATGACTCGAGGAGGATCATTAATAGCGGAGAAAGAGAGTGTTACCAATTAATTCCACGCGCATTTCGCAGTAATTTCGGTATTTTTAGCATAATTGAGATACTGTGAGGATTATAACGAGAATCTGACTTTCCTTGAATTGCTAAAAAAATTTTGTATTGTTAAAGAAACACTTTTCTTGTTTTTTTTTCACGATAATTTTTGCGCTTTTACGAGCGTAAAATGGGTGCATATAATTATCGCGATTAAAATTATTTTACCGAGATAACCGACGAAAGTGATTGACCGCAGTTTTACGGGCACGACCATAACAAGCAAACGCTTTCACGGAGATCGCGAAATATCACACGTTGAATTTTTATTGAGTCCTTTATTAACAAGATCAACAATTCATTCACAGAAACCTAAAAAATTATATTTATTCTCAGTTCAGATAGAAACAAAAAAATTAGACAAACTTTCAAATATCGTAAAATTTTAGAAGAAAAAAATTGAATATATTACAAAGAAATTAGAATAAATGTTTATAAATTAAACTTTATTAGAAACGATCTTCATTGTACTTTATTATATTAAATAGCATGATAGACCTGTATATTACTTTCATGATTTCCTGAATAAATTTTGTGAGTTATTGGTTATTGATAATATTTATTATGAATAATATTTATTCGTTGTTATCATGTAAAAACTAACATAATAAAAATATTTCCGTAAAATCTAAAATATTCTAAAATTTTCATGTCAGAATAAATTAAAAGACTATCCGCCGATATAAAGTCGGAAATCCATCGCATCATTGCGCGAGACCTTCTGAGATCATATTGCATTAATCTTTGACGTATCTCACGTGCGTGCATATAATATTAGTACACGAACGCGTCGCTTTCACTACTGTCGGAGTAACCTTTCTGAACGCTTCTTGCGGCAACGCGTCCGTGAAATTTACACGTCATTATACTTGAAATTTCTCTCTCTCTCTCTCTCTCTCTCTCTTTCTGCTGTTAATTTTATTTTTGTTGATCCTAAAAAGCGCACAAGCAAATTTACAAATAAACGCGATAAAAAAATTTTTGTCTCTAGGAAAGTAATATTATCAATGCACTTCATGCTCGCCTTTTCGGATCAACATATTTTTATACTTACAAGTTTTTAATCTTTTTCTTTTTTCTTTATTTCTACCGCTCGTATAAGATAGATAAACTCATTATCATGTATTATTTTGGCACACACAAGTTCATCAAGAAGTTTTGCTTATTTTTATACTTAGATAAAATTGTACTCAAAATTGCGAGAAAATTAAGCGACAATGACATCATATTTGTACGATAATGTTCTTTAACAGATAAATGTACGACACACAATAAAACTTTTTGATATTAAAATTGCGAAATCGATTGCGACGCACGGATAAATTCGAAACTGCTCATCGAGATGCAAATTTTTACGCAAATACATTCAAGCGCTTCGTTTCTTCGATGAATCTACGAGTGTTTGGTTAAAACGAATTATTTTCCCCAGCCGTTTTTTAATAACAGTTGATGTAGGGTATGGATGATGACTATTAACTTGTTAATAGTTCGTACAATACAGAATACATTAACATCACAAATGTATCAACCAAAAATTAGCAGGAATTTATCAAAGTATTTCGACTACTCAAGGAAAATCTTTAAATTAAACAATTGCACATTATATATGTTATTACCTTTAGAAACTAATAACAATGACGATAAAAAAATAATAAAACAAGTAGTATTTATTTAATACTATTTAATTTAAACAATTTAGTCAAATATATAAATATAGACAACGCGTATAAACAAAGCCAAGCTTTTCTGATTGTTTAATCGCAAAACATTGTTGACTCCGTTTGAACCATTAATATATTTTTAATTTATTTTTGCCATAATTGCACAGAGACACTAAACATCTATTATTTTTTTTAAATAATCATTTTTGATCTTTCTGGTTTAGAGACAGAGTTTAATATTATAATAATTGATGATTCTTCTGTGAGCAATATACTAGAACTAATTCAATGACTTGTGTATCTCGCTGAATCTATCGAAATTGAATTTTTAATAAAGCGTATGGTAATGCTTGTGTGGCACACATTTTAAGGATTAATACCTGCATTTCTAGTTTTCGAGAAGGAAATTTGGGTCGTAAACATATGTGTACTTGAAAAACCTGTATATACAGATATATACGTGCCGTAAAAAATGGCATTTAAAAGGCGCTTATGCAGATTAGATGGCCTTAAGTGTTGATTCGTATTACACGACATAACATGACATGACACGACAAAATATTCTTTTATTAACATTAATTCATATTGAATCTGCAACGACTCATAAAGATAGATATGTTCATACTTGCAAAAGATTATTTTGTCGTGTTGTATATGTGAATCAATCTTTAGATATTTTTTAGACGTTCAATCTGTATAATTGTGATCTTTAAAAATCTAATACAAATTTTTATGTCATTTGAGTCTAAATATTATTATCGTTTTTTATATAACTTTATATAATAATAATATAAACAGATGGCAAGAAATCAGTAGAAAATTGAAAATATATATACAATACCTATAGAAATATTGCTTACCGATAAAACTGATCCATTGTAATATCCAAAGAGTCAGAAGAAGTTTGCCGATCATCTCACGTCTCTGGACAATCCCGGAAACCTCTTTAAAAGTCCATCATTATTATGGACAGTTAGAAATCCATCGTGCCACGGTAGATCGCATCAGGATGATACGAAGACATCAAGTTTGCTTTCTGTTTGCGTTCTTACTGAATTCGGCGAAAAGATCAGCAAGGAACAACTAAATGCTCTATCTCTTTCGCGGGAAAAAGATCCCGATAAATCCTTGTTTTCCTCACAATCTGGGTAATTTTCTCTTTTTCTTACGAGGTCAATTTTTTATTCGCCTTTTCTAATACATTGATATTAAGAGATCGCCCCATTGATAAGAACTCTTTCGAAAGTTTGCGTGATAGTTTTCCGATAACCGTGCAATTAATGTAACAAGATCAAATCGCAAAATGGGAACAATTTCCTCATCCTGTTTATCTTCCTCTTTCTTGCGGTTAAAAGAAATTAAAATAGAAATAGGAAAAGCTACGTCGCGTTGTACATTCGTCGAGTATACTCGATCAGACGTCCGCTTTCTCCGCCACGAAAGAGCCTCGGATCCCGAATTCGTCGCTTGCGCAAACTCGTTCTTATTACTAACGTCCTGACATATTTGCGACACAGGTACGCGATCACTCGTGACCGAACAACCAGGTTTCACGTTCTCCTGCCGTATGTCGGGTCAGCCGAAACGCGCGCCAATCTCGAGGTCGAGCGAAAAAAGTTAATCGATTTTGCACATTAATGATCCTTGGACGCTCTTTTTTTTTTTTTTTAGCGAAATCACCGTGCCTGAAATCGATTTCTCGAAACGGCATAAACTCGCGATGCAATTTTTCACGGTGCGATGAAACCCGATGCGCGCCTCGCGCGCGCCGGAACAGAAACGAGGAGAGAGAGAGCGGAGCCGTATGCGGAGTTGTTCGCGAGCAAGGCCTGCAGGAGCATGAGAGTTGCTGCCTCGTGGCCTACTATAACAGAACTGACTCCTACCGTAGTATTACACCGTCTCTTTACCTGTACCATGAGCAGAGAACGGTGTTAAAGCGCTGTGTCTTGCGACGACGATCGGTCGGTCAATTGGTTGGTTCCTCCACTTCGCGGATTCTCCTCCACTTTGCGAACGCGATAACGCAACCATGGAACCGTATTTGGGAGTAACCAGATAGGGTGCTCCCTTTCTCTCCCGCTCTCTCTCTCTCTCTCTTTGGGACTTCAAAAATAATACATCAAAAATATTTGGTAGTGTTAGGAAACTTAAGCCGTTAAATTAAAAATATTCAATGTAAAAGAAACATCAAAATGTTTTTAGTATCACTTTTTTCCCGAAGATGCAGGTTTAAATAATTAATAACGCATGTATCATGAACATTCATTGTTGCACATGATATGTGCTGATACTACCACACATGCAATTGTGATTATGTTTTTGCAATATTAAGAGCCGTGTTATTGCAACGCGCAAAGACAACTTTTTTTCACAAGGGATATTATATTATGTTTGCAAAATAATTTTGTACTATTTACATTAGTAACATTCAATGTGCTAAAATAAGAAGTAGATAATTATGTAAAAAGTAGGTAATAAATTGCGTGTTACAATAGCATAAGCGTTTCGCTCTGTTGCAAGTTGCAATTTTATCGTGAGTTTATCTAAGCTTTTTAACAATAGTATTTTTTTTTTATTATATGCTTAAAATATTTCATCTCGGATATTACTATTTTGGTACTAAAATGAATTAATAATTAAATACAATTAAAATAAAGACAACAGGAAAAAATTTTGATGATAAATATATGAAAAAAAAAATTTTTACATTTTCATTAATTTTTTTTTTTTTTTAAGAACGACTATTATATGGATTCTTATTTTATTACATTTTATATTAACATCACACAATTTTATATTAACATCACATGATTCTATATGTCAATAAAAAATTCGCTTATTATCATGGTGGAAAACTACGCAAACTGCGTAGTTTTTTTATCTAACATTTTAAATTAATGTTTAAAAAATTGTCGACGAGGGTCATATTATTTATTCTAAATATACTAGGATTATTATCAGTTATACAATATAGTGGTCTGCTCGCCTTTTCATGACGTCAACTGATAATCGATCCTATTGTGTCGAGTAATGAACGTATTAATAATGTTCGTTGAAATAAGACATTCGAAACGCGCTTTGACGATATCATCGTATGCTAAACGCGTTTTAGCACTTTGTAGGTGGCTCATCTATCCCCCATATTGTTGCCTAACAATTTTCACACTTCTGTCGCAATGATGATTTCACCGCGGTCGAAAGTGCTCGCAATAATTATGTTTCGATCGACGCATTCACACATTGTATCACGCATCCCTAGTTGAAATAATTCAATATGCTGGCAACGTAAAATTTTCCAATCGTGTATATTATGCAATATGAAATATAATCGATACAATTATGCAAATAGTTAAAAATTCTAGAAAATAATCTCTCAATTCTTTAAGATTTTAATAATCATTTGGCATGTTTCTTAAATCATCCCGTGCGCATATATCGAAAGTTTTTTACATTAATAAATTAAACTAAAAATGTCATCAATCTAGAATCTTTTAATCTTTGTTATATTTAAAAAAAAAAAACACACACGTATATTCTTTTTCCTATTCAGATAATTTCTATTTAGAAATCGAGTAAATGCAACATAATATCATTTACAATATAGCTTTATGTATATAAATATGTATATAAATAACATTATTTGTCAAAATCGAAAAAAAATCATGAAAAATTTATAATATATTCGCCTCGTTCATCTCTTGCAAACCGAACGAGTTTTTAAACATCAGCTGTACATTTATATTAATCCATCACTTTCGCTCGCCTTCAATGTAACAACGAGACTTTCAATCATAGCACGTCGTCGAAAGTTCATCCGCCGTTTCGTCCGGTAATTATTTACGGTTAGCGCGAGGACGAAAAGTGCGTTCCGTAGTGCGAAGGCGAGAATCGGAGAAAGTCGCAAAGGAAATCGCTTTAAAACAACCGATATGACCATCGTCGGTCGTGACAAGCCTCTCTTGTCACGCGACATACCGCAGAAATGATAGCACACGTGCGCCACTTGTAAAAAAATATGCTATCGTTTAATAACAGGGAATCATATCGTATGTTCCGATGTTAGACCTCGAATCCTGTAAAATGTAGCATGCCTACACAAATGGACTGGCATTCAATTGTCTAGCTGTATAGTTAGCATAATTAGTAAAGTAATTCGAGATGACTACTATAAAATAAGTATCAAACGCGAAACAAACATACGATACAATTGAATCGAAGTGACGAAATTATATTTAACGAATATTTAATATTTATTGCAATTCTCTCGTCCACATTCGTCACAACGAATTTTCACTCGCCCAGCTATGCGGTTCCCTCATCCGGATGTGAAAACAGGTTTATTGCCCGAACGATTATTGTCCATTGAGAGAAGAATATTATTCGAAAGCGGTTCGAACCCGTAATCGATTCGATTTCCGTCGCGTATAGTCTACTTTCTTTTTCAGACAAGTTCAAGGACGTTCTGAAGGAAAACCAATGAATTATTATATTCATTTTTTTGGGTTTCATAATTCATATTATTAATTTATATTATATAATATATCTTTTATCAACTTTTATAATTTTAATAGTGAGATAAAAATGAAACTCTCTGTTGGAAGCAAGAGATTAATATTATCTTGCATAATTGCATCTTTATTGTGTTATTAATTTGTTATTGCGCTATCATAAAGACTTACAAACATTATTCTATGTTTGTAGAACAATTATTAATATAATATTTGTCATATTATAAATGGTATATTTTCTATTTTATACAAGAGATATTACTTAAATTATTAAGATACAATTCATAGTATTGTCCAATGTTGTCTAACATTAGATTTGTTCACTATTATGTTATGACATATACAACACAAAAGTTTATAATAGTATTTACATCTCCTCAATATTACAGAGGAAATAGGTATGTAATATTTTAAATATTACTTAAAACTAAAAATGTACGAATAGAAAGAATCTTTGTGTGACTTATAGTTTTATACTTTGATGTAGATATAGCATGTATAATACAATTCTCAGAAATGCTTAGATACAATCACTTTTTAAAATTGAGATACCTGTTCTCATCAAAGCTGTCTTCAATTTCCTCAGTTATGACTACCTTCGTTTTTGGTTTACGCATCTCGAGTCGCTTCTTTTGTTGTTCTGGTGTAAGTTCTCCAACATTTAACGGGAGAGTTATTATCTTTCGCGGCTCATGGTACTCGATCTCTATACTACTTCCATCTGGCAAAACAAGAATTGTAGGATACGTTCGTTCGTATATCCTTCTGTGCTTCTTTGTGATCGCCGCTGTCCAACAATTAAGATTTCTCTGGCCTATCGCAGAACTGCCAATCCGTGCAAGTGAAGCAATCATTCTGAAATAAACAAATATTTATGCTTATAGGATTATAAATGTGAGACTTAGATATATGTATCTTTACATATATTCACACAAAAATATATAATAGAGCCTAATAGTAACAATCCTAAGACATATATAACGAGTAGCTTCTCATAATTACAAATTATAATTTAAAAATGCAATTGTACAACTTAAAAATTCATATCTTCTTCATTTACGCGTTAATATACAACATAATATATAAATAATAAAAAATATTTTTTAAATTCACACGCATTACACACAAGTATCACATTGTTTTCATAGGTTATGTTGTTCATCGTATAACCATTAATGAGGGAAACATTACATAACACATTACTTTTAAATCACTCCAAATAATTTCGCACTTATTAAATTACTCTCTTTATGTTTGTAAAACATCGATGGAATACACTTGAGAATAAAGCAAAGTCCTACCTGTCGTAACGATCGACGAGACGAGCGACTTGATGCGACGACTTGAAGTTCTGCGCAATCGAGCGATCGAGATGTGACGTTCCCGCGCGATGAATCGCAGGCTGCGCGCGCTGCCGGTATCGAATTGCGATTATCAGAGTGTGGCGAAAGTTTGGAAACGCGCGACATCGAGAGCGCTTGTCCGGGCATTTTTTCATATTTTTCGAGTGGTGCAAATACACGGACGTTGCGTGCCTTTGCGTGCGATTCGTTTCTGTGCGTTTCCACAAGAAGAGTGTGTGTTTCAATGTCAAACGGCGTTTTTCTCTCGACGTCGGTGGAGCAGCGTCCGAATTTCTTACGAGACGATGTAAAATAATGTGCGATGAGACGATGAATGTCGATCGACTCGCGAAAAAAGAGATGCTTCGGCTTGCGACAAATATTATCTTTTAAGCGTTCTGACGGGGGGGTAGCCACAAGCGAGATATATTTTTATACGCTGCATCCGCTCTCGGGTTTCTCCTGACAATGACCAGGCAGGTGGATATACTCGGTACGATTCCTGTAAGGAAAGGAATTACGACACATTCTTTAGGTACATTTAATAGCGAGCGGCAATTTTTCGGAGATTTGTCTCGATCTCCTTCCGATATGCTTAAAGAAAAATCTCTCGCTAGCTATCGCCGTTAAAGAGTGCATTAAATTGAGTTAGTAGAATTAGTCGGGTTAGCAAAGTTATAATTAACCCGGGAATTAAAATGGCCAACTTGTCTTTTCATATACTGAAAGGGAGAGTTTGCATAAATATAAACGCGGTTTGATTTTATATTTTTTTATCGTTACAATTCAAAAAAGTACAAACAATTTATTTTATAATAATTATTCATACATCATATAATAATTATTCGCACAATATTATTTATTTCATAACAGAGTTGTGAAAAATTATAATATAAAAATAGATTAAATGCAATAGTGAAATTTATTTATAAAACTAATTTCAAAATAATTTATAGTATAAATTTATCTATTAAATTATTTAAATAATTTATTTATCATATAAATAAACAGCAAATATTATACAAGAAATAACGTTTTTATATATTATCAATAAAACTTTTAAACAACGCAATATGTATTATCTTTATGTATTAATTCGTAATGTAGAGACAAAAGGATAGGCATTTATTTCCCGGGTTAATGATGAAAACATACATACATACGCACTCATTCAAACAGTATACGGGATTGCACACACAAAATCGTATTTATTAAACATTCAAACTTATTTGAACCGGACTCTCCCAAATTGTAATATTTACTTAAAATCACTGTTGTCTTTCACCATCGTGCAAATTGAAAAAGACTTGCCGCAATTAAATATAAATATCGAATAAAAATCAACGCAAAACATGCTTCATGCGTATATTATCAATAGTGATCCTTATTTATCTTGCTTTACACAACATACAACATTTTTAATATGTAATATATATACTTTAATAATATATTATACATATTTTAAATACAATTCGATAAATTGTACAAAACAATGAAAATGATGTTTTATATCAAGATAGAATTGCCTGCATAAAATATGCAATTTTATAATAATAATATAAATATAATATTTTGTAACTTTTTTTTCAACAAAAATTTATCTATATATTAAAAAATCTTATCAAATTTCTACATATTATTACTATTTTAATATAATGTTTTAATTTTACATTTTTGGTGTGTTGTGTTGCATACTAAATAAGATATTTCATAATTTATAAGTTATTTTTAATAACATCAAATGTATAATTTAATTATGCAAGTTTCTCATAAGATTGCATTATTTATTTAAATTTTTTCTCGTATTTCAATTTGCGCTAAAATTATCCATTATGATCCTATGAAAATATTTCACTTTATCTGTCCAATTTAAGATCTAATCAAATTAGAGTTACAAATTAACATTTAGAAATTAAATAAACCATTTTTTTATCGTTACTATAATACCAATGAATATATATGCTTTGATTTAAATGTTTAAATATATATGTACATCTAAGAAAGATATTATAACACAAATTAATATTTTTATAAAAGCATACTATGTCTCTGCCTCTTTTACATAATCCGCGCGTGTTCGGGTAA